GTTTTCTTCCGTTTAATCCGAGCGGCGAGTTTCTTCGCATCGATCCATCTTTGCAGGGCTCGGTGCTTGCCTGTGGTGTTTGGACGAGGAGGGTGCAGCACTCCCCCCCCGCGTCGCCCGCGGTTATCTCCCTTCTCCCGCGAACGGTGCTTACTCGCGTGGTTTTTACGAATCTCTCTGCTCCTCCAGCTTCGTGGGCCACGTTTTCCGCGACGGTGGTTACCAGGTGCAGTTTGCCGCTTTGCATTGCTGCCGCGGGGACAAGGTCCACATACACCTCTCGCCACTACCACCGTCTGTGCATCCTCACCGCCACGCTGAGCCAGCGCGGCGGTGAGTTGCACCTTGGGACACCACCCACCTACTATCTGTTGTGGCCTGGTTCGCCCGCGAGGGACTCACAAGGTCGATTTCGGCCCCGGCCGGGGAGCAGGCCGGGGAGGGGAGGAGGTAGGTGTTCTTGTCCCGCTCGCTGCGAAAGTCAGCTGTAGACATGAGTCTTCTCGTTGATCAGCCGGTCGGCGCGGTAGATGCTATTAACTACAAGTGGATGAATATTATGTAGAAACCGCGTACAGTAATTGTATGCGTACCATGATTGATTATGTCCCTGTGGAGTGTTATACATCGTATAATACGTCCATTTTATGCATAGACTATTATATATTATAATAGTGAACAAGCGCAGTGCTCTGAGCAGTGTTGTCGCCAACTGGCGACAAGCCATGATCAGTATATGCGCACCGATGGAATGCCGGCCCTTTGAATTGTGAACTGAAACTTTGAATCGTGAATCTCTACTTCCTCTTCTCGTCAAACAGTACACGGAAGAGAGTAAGCCGTTGAGCGATACGGGCACTACGTATCCTGTGTTTTTTTCGTTTGAGCGAGAGACGACAACGAAAATGGTGTCCATGTTGGCCCCCTACTGTAGTGCAAGGCAAGGGATTTCGGCCGGCCTTACACCCAGTGCCCGGCACTGATAGTGAGCAAGACAATCTTGATCCCATCTGCTTTGCACCGGTCTTGTACAGCAGTGCGACCGGCCTACTAGATGCCGCCCTAGACTCCGTAGGGACCAGTACTATTTGCTGTACCTGACCATACGGCGTGCTGGGTGCGTTGCCACTTTATGTTGGCGTAAGTACATGCCGGTACGCACGCCTTTGATCATTTTCTTTTGTCTGTCTGCTTGGCTCTGAGCCCCGTGAAAACGGGACAACCCCGTGTGGCTGGCAACAAAGAAACTTACCATTTCGCTCAGAAACAGTTACCATTCCGCTAAGAAACAGAGGCTCAATAGTTTCATCGAAACATTGAAATATGGCGTAAGAGACACAGCTTGCTCAGCGGTGGGGCTTAACGCCTGGTACATCATAATAACCGGTGCTCGGCGGAACGGACGGTGGTGCCTAAACAAGAAATGTAAGCCTGCCTGCCCCCGACACATGCTGCTTGACGGTCCGAGCCCCACTGCTTGCTGTGTGCGCAACCTCATGTGCTCTTGTCGGTGCGTTACACCTCAGGCGTCAAAGCAGCTTGCGTCGTAGCAGCAGCAGCAGCAGCAGCGTCGGCTTCCGGGTCCCCCCCAGCGGTTGCCTCGGCGAGCGTCGCCAGGTCACCAACACCACCCATTACCCAGAGAACTCAGCACCGTAAGCAGGCACCCAATGGCAGAACCCCAGCCACCGGCGGCGGCAGGGGAGGCGGCGGGGGACGGGGCCGCGGGCTCAGCGGCGGCGGGAGGCGGGGGCGAGGAGGACGGCTTCATCGACGCCGGAGACGTGACCTACACGCCCTACCGCCCGGCCAAAGTCAGGGTGGGTGCACCGTCTCTCATCTGCGCGGCGTGTACGTATCTACGTGTGCTGCCTTGGTACGCACGGCCGCAGTGGCAGCCATACTTTTGGGGGCTGTGGAATACATGAAGTATTGGGTTCAACCCTTTGATGTGGGCTGCTACTTGCAGGGTGTGCTGAACCCTGGGGTGCCCGTGTGCTCCTTCGAGCGTGTTGCCCGCCCTTGCTGGTGATGGATGGTGAGTTTCTGATGTTGTTCTAGCGTGGGGCGGGGCCGAGGGGGGGGGGGGGGNNGGGGGGGGGGGGGGGGGGGGGGGGGGGGGGGGGGGGGGGGGGGGGGGGGGGGGGGGGGGGGGGGGGGGGGGGGGGGGCGCCGCCACCTACGTCATCATTGCGCAGCAGTTGCGAATAAACGCTCACCTACACGTCGCTCTCAACACCAGAGGCAGTGTAGACGCAGCTACTTATTGTAGTGAATCCCCTCCCCGCACCGAGTTCGGCGTGCGTTTTCATGACCCCCCCCCCCTTCCCTTCCAGATAGGGAAGCCCCACCCGGACCACGTGGTCGAGAACACGTCCCTGGCCGCTGTGCCACCGCCTGATGTCACGTACGAGGCACACCAGGCGAANACACGTCCCTGGCCGCTGTGCCACCGCCTGATGTCACGTACGAGGCACACCAGGCGAAGTCCTCCCTGGAGCAGCTGAGCAATGTCCAGATGGAAAGCGTCATCTACGCCGGGCAGCAGTTCAGCAAGCCTCACCTCAAGGACGGGGAGCGTGCGGGTGAGCTTGGCTGTTGTTATAGTGGAACGGTTGGTCGTTGCCGCCCATATTATCAAAATGCGCGCCTGGCTGCAAGGCTGGTGTTGTTTCGTTGGTCTGTCGGGTAAGACACACACATGCAAAGGACAACGACAGGCAGCAGCAACGAAAACGACGACGACAACAACAACGGTAACAACAACAACAACAACAACAACAACATCATCAAATCCACAGCAACACACAACGGCACCGTTGACCACGCGCGCCGCACAACAGGTTTCATAATCGGTGACGGGGCCGGCGTCGGCAAGGGGAGGCAGCTCGCGGGAATCATCATGGACGCGTGGATGCAGGGGTATAAGCGCCACATCTGGTTCACCATATCGCCAGACGTGCTCCACGACACCAAGAGAGACTTGCGATACGTTCAATACACATATTTGATTATTTCTGCTCCATGACACTAAAGAGAGACTTGAAGTGAGCGAAATGTTAGTGTCCCTCCTACACGTTTTCCGCTGTTTTCCCGTGTGCTTTCTCCTCATTGTTATTTGTCTGGTGTGCTCCATGACACGAAGAGAGACTTGAAGTGAGTTTTGTTCCCTGTGCCCTGATCTTTTTCGTTCCCTCTTTTTTTTTGTCCTCCTTTTGCAATTGCCTGATGTGCTCCATGACGCGGAGAGACTCGAAGCGAGCCAAACGTTTCTCCCACGCCTTTTTTCCTTTTTTTTTTTTTAGTTTTATGCTCGTTTTTGTTATCTGGTGTGCTCTCCGACACGAAGAGAGACTTACTGCACTTCGTCTGGACCGATGAACCTGAACCAACAACCTCAACAACGCATCACCGTTGCTCACGATGCGCCTGGGGGTATGTATGTATGAACCACTACGCCCGATGACCCCCCCTCCGTGCTGACATGGCAGTATCGCATGTGCGGTATGGGAAAGGAGAGGTTTACCGAGAATAGCCTGGAAGGCGAAGTGGGCAAACAAACAGAGCGGTAGACAACCCACGGAATGGGTCCAGGTTGTAGGTGACGTGTGGAATGGGTTCGAAACTGACGAAGGCGATACGCTGGATACGGAGGGTCTATAAGGGTTCAAGGAGAAGATGTCTGTTGCTTGTGCCGAGAGAGAAGCACATAATCTACGAAATGAAACCAAGGATACAAGGAGGGTCTAGACTAGACGTGTACGGAATGTTGAAAGAAGGAAAGGTTCAAGGAGTACCTACTGCATGGAAATGGTGAAGGACAAAGCTGAAGGTCAAACTCAGGACCGGGGACACTGGCCTTCGAGAACGTAGCCGGAGATATAGGAAGGTAGACGATGAAGACGCCAAGTTCAAATGTGATTTCGGCTCCGAGTGCGAAGACCGTGTTCATGTAGAGTCAATTGTACGATATGAAGAGGGAAGTGTACATGACGGAGCTGGGAAAAGCAGAATAAAAGTGCAGGGAGATGTTTGAGGCATGGGATAGCCAGGAGAAGACGTTAGCTGTACTGGGGCATAGGAAGTGGGTTGAAAAGGCGGGAAGTGATACGGTAGGATAGATAGGCTGGGGACAACATTTTTGAGCCACCTTTGGCAAAGTAGGAAGGAAGGATTGGCCACATATGATCGGTCTTGTGGGAACAATGCTCCTTCCTCTCGAGGGCGCGTGGTCAATGGTTTAACCGCTAAGGCATGCAAAACATAATAGTACGCCCCCCCCCCTTGTCCTGACTACAACGAGTGGACTGCAACCAGTTGCTGCTGGCGCTGCTGATTTCCCTGCTGATTGTGCCGCTGCCTGTGCCGCTGCCTGCGCTGCTGCTTGCGCCGCCAATTTTGCTAATGATTGCGCCGCCGCCCTTGCGCCGCCAATTTTGCTGATGATTGCGCCGCCGCCCTTGCGCCGCTGATTTTGCTGACTGATTGTGCCGCTGCCCGCGCTGCTGATTTGTGCTGCCGCGGGCCGCAACAGGGACATCAAGCCCGGCAAGAAGAACAGGCCGAAGGTTTACAACCTCTCGGACCTGGCCTACGACGAAAATCTGTCCGTGGGAGACGGGGTGATCTTTTGCACCTACAAGATCCTCACCTTGTGCAACGAAAGCTCGTCGGTGTGTGTGTGTTTGTGTTTGTTGTCTTTACGCTCGACATCGTTCCGGTCTCTGCTCAGCACCCCTCATGATATCGTTGTTGTTGTAACCACGTTACAAACCGTGCCGGTCTCTGCTCAATGCCCCTTGTAATACCTCTACCGCCGGTTCAAATGACGCGCGGAAGTCTTCCGTGGTGTGTACATGTACAGCACCATGAATTTGTGTGTTGTGTGTTTCTGCAGACCGCGCTAGAACCGACGGACCAATGAAAATGACGTTGTCATTCTCTTCGCAACTAGACGAAGAACGCGAACGCAAACGGTTTTGGTCTACGGGGGCCCTCGCACAAGGGGGGGTGGAGGGGTTGCGGGGAGGACATTGGGCGACCAACTTTAACAATGAGAAGAAAGCACATTCAGTATGCATCTCGCCGTCTCAACGAAACGACGCTTGTGCTCGGGGGCCGCAATGCCGAGAGGTGCATCGTCCTCGACGAGGCACATAAGGCGAGACAAACTGCTACTACAGCAGTAACTCAACATGCAGTTAGAATAATTGTTGGTGACGCAAGATGGCACCCCGTCGCTACGGAAGATATAGCAGCACACATCCCTTGGACCGTGTTTCAAAATTTGATGGTACACCCAGAAGGAAGTGCTTTAGTATACTGACCGAAGATACCCAGGAAACTACAGGGGGATCACACGGTTGAACACAGTAGGGAAAGTGTTCTGAAAGCTGCTGAACGATAGGATAGTGGGAGTTTTGGATAAGGAACATAGCATTAGTGAGGGCCAGGCAGGTTTCCGAAAGAAGAGGGGGTGCGTAGACCACG